AAAAAAAAAGGCCGCCTTCAAACCCCGCGCAAGTAAGAGTCTGTGTGTGTGTGTGTGTGTGTGTGTGTCTGTGTGCGTGTGTGTGATTCGGTGGGGGTGGGAGGGGCAACCCATCCCTGGTCGATGAAGTACATCCATCGTCCGATCGTGCTGCTCACCGTGTTCTGCGTCTTGTAGTAGGTCAATGGATTGTTGTCTGTGACCCATGTGAACCTACGACGCCCAAGGAGCAAGTGCCGCCAGCGCTTGAGAGCCATCACGGATGCGAGCAGCTCCGTTTTCCTTGCATCATCAAGCGAGTTGATGGGAGGCACTTTGTGGCTGAAATACTCCACAGGGTGCCAGTCGTCGTTGTCGTGCTGTTCCAAGACTGCCCTAATGCCACAGCCGGAAGCGTCGGTAGTCACTCGCGTCAACAGGGTGGGGTCATAGATACTTAGGACGGGTGCCATGAGCATAGCCGTCTTAAGTCCTTGGAATGACCGGCGTGCGTTGTCATTGAATACGAATGGCACCTTTGGCGACTGTAACCTCGTCATAGGTGCAGCAATCCTGGAGTATCCGGTGATGAATCGCTGATAGTAGCCCGCCAACCCCATGAATGAACGAACGTCCGTGGTGTTGGTGGGCTCGAGCCATACTCGTAGGGCCTCGATCTTGTCCGCAAGCGGACAGATGCCTTGCGGCGTCACATAGTGTCCCAAGTACTCCAGCTCCTGCTGTGCGAACTCGCACTTGTCGCGGCTTGCTTTGTACTTGGCCTGTCGTAGCCGCTCCGAAACGGTGCGCAGGTGTTCCACATGCTCGTCCAGACTCCGGCTGTAAACCAGAATGTCGTCGAGGTAGATAAGTACGAAACGATCCAGCATGTGTCGAAACTCCGTCGTCATAGCCGCTTGGAAAGTGGTTGGGGCATTCGTAAGGCCAAATGGCATGACCAGCCATTCGAAATGCCCATACCGTGTCTTGAACGCGGTCTTGTAGCGATCCTCCTTGCGAATCTGGAGTTGGTGGTACCCTGACTTGAGATCCAGCTTAGAGAAGAACTGGGCGTCGCCCAATCGCTCGAGAAGGTTGTCGATGCGTGGGAGAGGGCCGGCGTTCCTGATCGTCTGCGCGTTGAGCTTGCGATCATCGATGCACAACCGCAGGTCCTTGTACTTCTTCCGGACGAAGAGAACAGGAGCTCCGTATGGCGATGAGCTAGGCCGAATCCAGCCTTTCTCCAAAAGGTCGTCGAGTTATGCCCGAAGCACACTTAACTCTTCCTTGCTAATTCGGTAGATGCAACCACGCGGAGGTACGGCCCCGTCCTCGAGGATGATCTCGTGGCGGATGGGTCGATCCGGTACTACTCCGTGCGGGCCTTCAAACACGTCGCTGTAGGCGTCGAGAAGTTCGGTGATGCGTGGATCCGAAGGTGAGTCCGTCGATGAAGCGTCATGGGGCGGGAGGGTGTGGGGAAAACACACACCCATCTCCTCGATGTCATCTCTGATGATGGAAGCTCGCATGCTTGCGGCGGATACCACGTGGCAGCTGATCGAAGGATGAGGAAGAGGCACCGTGCATGGAACTAGTAATCCGTTCCGGTCACGAACTTGAACGGTGCGGTTGAAGAAGTTCACCGGGTGATCCTTGCTTCGCAGCCATGACATGCCCAAGATCATGTCGAATTTGATGTTCAGAATGTCAAAGGACACCGTCTCACTTGCGTGAGGGGCAAAGTACACTGGGACGGCGTCAATGCACCGGTCGATGGACTTGTGCGTATGACCGTCTGCCAGAGTGACTTGCGTAGGCTGGGACTTCCTCCGGACACGTGGGCCAAAGCCGGCGCGTAGCATGAAGTCCTGGCTGATGTAATTGCGAGATGCTCCGCAATCGATCAAGGCACTGCAGGTTGCCTCTCCAATCTGAATGCGTACGTATAGCAATGGTACGTCGATGTCGTCGTACCGTTGCGTCTTGAACTCGCGGTCGATCTTCGCGATGTAAACGTGAAGGTCGACAACCTCTACTCCCGCGTCCATCAACGGAGCTGGTACTGCAGTGTGCAAGTAGTCCCGCAATTGTGTCATAAGCACGTTGCAATGCGGTTTCGGCAATCGTCCGGTCGAGGGAACGGGCATCCACTGGAAGTCTGTGAACGTCAATGGGTCGAGCTCTTCAAGTCTTGACCATGACGTCGAATCCCCGGCGATAGATTGCGGCGAAGCTGCCGAATCGGTTGTCGATGGTGATGAAACCGTGCATGCGGTGGACTGTTGCACGTGGAGCGATTGGTCCAGCGGTGGAACCAAGTGGACAGCATAAGCCTCGTAAGTATACCGAGGACTTGCGACATTCGCATCCTCCCCAGATGTGCAGGAGGCCGCTAGCAAGGCGGTCGAATCTGGCGGAGTAGAAGGTGGAGTCGCCTCACCTTCCGCGAAGCTCAGTTTCCCGAGCTGAGGCGGGGTCGCATATCCTCCTTGCCTTTATCTTGGCACAGGGAGGTCTTGTGCTTGGTGTTGTTGCACCAATAGCAGCTGCCGTAGCGGTCGCGGACCTTGTACTCCGCCTCGATCAAGCGAAACTTGACCCATGGAAATTGTCCTGGCTGTCCATTTCCGACCTGCGATGCGGATTTCGCCTTCCCATTGTTACGGGACTTGTTGTTGCTTTGCGGCTGGACAGCAGCCACCTGATCTTCGTCACTTGATGCTGGAGTGGGTGCTGGGTTATCTCCACTGTCCTACTGGACTGCAGCGAAGTGCTGCTGTCGCAGACCAGTTCATACCTTCTCCACATAGGTCGGCTGCCATGGTGACTTATCGTATGCAGCTGACCTGTTGGTCTTGATGATCTCTCTCGCCTTGTCGATAATCTCGGCGAAAGTGGAGTACTGCTCGCAATCACCAAGAGTCTGGCTCAATGCAGCGCAGGATCTGTTGTAGAACTCACGTCTGAGATGAGTGAAAGGCAGCTCCAGATTGGGCACTGCCGCAATCTTCTGCCACTCTGTGAGCCAATCCCGTGTTGCAGTGTTCCAGTGTTGCCCTGTGACATGGTGAACAAGCGGTTGATGGCGAGTGCCGGCGCGTCGTCGACGATGAACCGCTTCTTCCACAGCCGTGTCAGTTCCTCCCATGTGATTTGGTCCTTCGAGTCTGGTACGTCGACGCCGTTGGGAGGTTGCCAGGTGGCTCAACCAGGTTTGGCATCCGCCCTTTGAGTTCAGGAACAGGGCGCCGATGTACGCATACTTGGCTACGGGCAGAATCCTGAGTTGCGTTGTGAATGCTTCCCACCAGAGGACCAGATCCTGCTGCGTGTAGTCGTCGAACCTCTCCAGATTGAAGATTGGCATCTTATACATCTTAGGGTTGCCATCCGCGTTGGTCGTCTGCAGCTGCTGGACCTCGGTCTTCAATGTATGCAGCTGACTGCTGATGGTGGTGGTCGGCGCAGCGAAAGTGCTGATGTCGCCGAGCATTGCCACTGCGTGGTCAACGCGGTCCTCCAGTTGGCGGCTAGAGGGTGCACTGCTGGAAGCCCGAGCAGCTGGTCCTGGTACAGCCTGTTCCAGGTCCAGCAATCGAGCATTGAGTGCCCGAGTTGCATCCTCGTGGCTCTGCACCATGCGGCGGAGTTGTGCCAACTCCTGATGCTGTTGCGTCAGGTCCTGGTACTGTCTCTCCAACTCTGACCGTTGGTAGTTGCAAGCATACAACAACCGCGTCACGAGTTTGGAGAGGAACTCCTTGTGCTTCTCTTCCGGTGTTGCCTCGTCGCCGTTCGGTTCGAAATGCCAGAACTTGAGTCTGTCGATGCTGTTGGCTTCATGCCGCTGCAGCAGATCCTGGGCTTCCTTGCGGCGAGCCTGGGCATCTGCGTCTGCATCGGCCTGTAGCTGCAGTTGCTCTGCTGCTGCTGCCTCGAGTGCTAGCTGGCGTTGTTCCTCAGCCTCTATCTGAGCCTGGAACCGCTGCTTGTAGGCTGCAAGGGACTCGTTGGGCAGTTGGCCTGGCAGGCCCGTCATGTTGCTGACATGGCACTGCTGACGTGGCACTTTGTCTGACGTGGCACTGTCTGATGTGGCACTGCTTATGTGGCACTGTGTCTGACGTGACACTGTGACCTGGCACTGCTGACGTGGCATTGCTGATCTGGCACTGTGACGTGGCACTGTGACCTGGCACTGCTGATCTGGCACTGTGACGTGGCGCTGCTGACGTGGCACTATACCGAACCGGGATGCATGCAAGGGGTGGGTGGGAGGGAAAACGTAGGTAGGTAACCACCCCAACAATACTTTCCTCCGGCCCTAATCAACAGATAAAATAAAAAAAATAAAAAATTAAAGAGGACTACTTCCTTTTTTTTTTTTTTGTATATATCTGTCGATCTATGATGAGTAGGATATGTCTGAAGAGTATTATGAACGAGATCTAGGCTAGGTTCCGCAAAGTTTCGGCTTTTACAAACTGCGATCTTGAAAAAAAAAATTTGCGAAATGGAGTAAAGATGCGATTTTCAGAAAAGAACGAAATCCAGTTTCTGAGAATATAGCAACGTCCGAATATGCCTAACGCAATATTGGTAGGTTTCGCAAGATTCGTTTCCAAAAAAAATTTTGCGAGATAGAATGGAAATGCGATTTTCAGAAAAGAATAATTTCAGTTTCCGAGAATATGACCACTTCTATTGTTATCCCAATATGCCTAGAGAACGAAAATACTAACTTCAGAAATTTCAGCTATGTATGCGAAATATCAGAGAAACGAAATGCTACTATCGGGAATTTTCAGACAAAACGAAATGCGATTTATCAGAAATTTTCAGATATTTGTTACGTAAAAACGAACTACTAATATCAGAAATTTTCAGATAGAACGAAAATGCGAACATCAGAAATTTCAGATAGTTGTTGCGAGAAAAAAAAAAATTCAGAGATTTGACTAAGTCCTATTTGCGTTACTGAGTGATCAATAGATCGCAAGCTGGCTACTTGATTGAGCAGGTCCTCTGAATGAGAGGTCCGCTCCGATACCAAACTGTTGCATACTGTAACGTGCAGACCAGAACAAGAACCGACCTTTCAATACAAAGTACAAGATAACACAGCGGAAGACTTAGGTACCAGTGATCCGAACAATCAATGTTGTAATGCAGCCCTGAACATACATCATCATCATCATTACATGGTGTGAATGGGTCTGGCGCTTCACACAGGAAGACAGCGCCAGCCCATACCATACACAGACTTGACATTTGGGATTCAGACATTTCGACGAGGGACTATTTGGGCCTGTGCCGAAGACTTGGTGTTGACGACATTCCCATCTTCCCCCTCCTCTTCGTCTATCCCCTTCCTCTTCGTCTGTGTATGGTATGGGCTGGCGCTGTCTTCCTGTGTGAAGCGCCAGACCCATTCACACCATGTAACGATGATGATGATGTATGTTCAGGGCTGCATTACAACATTGATTGTTCGGATCACTGGTATCTAAGTCTTCCGCTGTGTTATCTTGTACTTTGTATTGAAAGGTCGGTTCTTGTTCTGGTCTGCACGTTACAGTATGAAACACAGAGTCAGGCATGGCCGCTTAGTCAGCAGCGGCATAGCTGCTTTGGGTTGTCCTTTGGACAGGAGTGCAGTGACATAGCTGCTTTGTGTTGTCCTTTGCACAGGGAGGGGCCGAGCCCTCAGTTGCCCGCCATAGCCTAGGCTTGTGAGAGGTGGAAGAAGGGGGGAAGCCATAGCTATGGTGGACCTGTTGTTGTTGTGTCAGCAGTAAGAGGGAACTTCAATTGATTCTGGTTCATCCACTCATTGTTATTATTATTATTGGAAGAAGAATAAGATTGGCGAAGTGAAGGAGGAGGAGGAAGGTGGAGAGAGAAGGGGGATTTGTCATTGGTCTCGCTGGTGTACATCTTCTTCTTCTTCTTCTTTCTCTCTTCTTTGGTCTCTATCCCTTTGCAAGTGCTTTCATTTCTTTCGCAATTGGGTGGCATTGTCTTTCATTGTGAATTTGCACTTTGGGAATGACCAGGATCGTAACACTTTGGCTTTTTCTGTGTTGAGCTGAATTTTGTGCGGGTTTGGCCCCTCACACTGGGACCTAGAATCCCAAAGCCCCCCAAAAAAGGGTAGAGGGCCTGGGACCTAGAATCCCAAAGTCCCCCCAAAAAAGGGTACAGGGCCGGTCACACAGATTTGCCAAAGTCCTAAATGTATTTACTATTCGTGTGCCCATTTGCCAGCGGCCTGGGAAGCCGTTAGGCAAGGGAATTTGCTGTCACCTCTGGAGGTGACCTCAAATTCCCTATTTAATTTTTCACATTTTCTTCAAAAATTGGTGAAAATTCACTCACAAAAGTTCTTGCACAATTTGTGGATGGCGCCTTGTGACCAGCTCCCATCTGAAAAGATACAGCAGTACGACCCGAACCATGCCCAAAACCTCAAATAGGCCCTTCCCAGATCATATTTTGCGGATTTGGGGTCGCAGTGTGAGTATGCCCTGAGTTTGGGCTTCTAACCATGGACCTTTTGGATAACAGACTACGCCCCACAGTAGCATTTATGGGACTACCGGATCCTCTATGTTTGAGTCTTCTTGCCTTGGAACCATAGATCTGAGCGGCATAAGTGAGCTGCACGGCGGGCAAAGATAGATTCCTGAATCTGGTACATTTTTTAGGCTAGCTTCTCTTTTAGACTTTCTGTTCCTTTGACACTGATAGCGTACGACCAAGACTATAAAACTAATGATTGAAACTAATGATTGCTAAGCGGTAAGGCCTCAAAGGGCCCGACACTGGTAGACCTTCCGGCATTTCCGGAAATGCTAAGCGGGTTGACAGTGGAGGTGGGATTTGTTGGAACGATGCGCTGTTGACGTAGATGATGACCCCGTGGCAGAGGTCGAAACCCGCGTGGGTAGCCACTACCCGCCGGCTTTGCAATCTGTTGTAGTTTTCTGTACTCCAAACATTTGTCATACATACTCAGTGTGTGTGTACCTGCTCACTACTCGGTGTGAGTGTATCTTGCTCACTGAAGTGATTTTCACGTCGTTTCTACAATCAGTCATCCAGACTGTTTCCACCACCACTAAAGCCGCACTGCTCTTTTATGTTTTCTCAAAAGAACAAAAAAAGAGGAAAAACAAAAAAGGAGGCTGAAGAAGGAAAGAAAAGAAAAGAAAAGGAGGCGGCTGATCCTTTATGTACTGCCATATAGTTATATATGGGCCTCGTTCCACCACTCACCACATGTGCAAAAGACAAGATATGGCGGTGTATATTCCCATATTCTAGTGGGAGATCCATGCTCATTTTGCACATTTGGTGAGTAGTGGAGCGAGGCCCCATATTAAAAGAAATACCTGTACGCACGCAAAGAAAAGGAGAAGGAACACCAGCATTGGGCCTTACTCAGTTGGGACACCAACCAATGAACAGTTGAAATTTCAACCCAAGCTCGAATCCAAATGCCATCAGATGAACAGAATAAACTGACACTAGACGGTCTTAGATGCTTCTCTTTTCTTTTTTTAATTCTTTTCCCTTTGCCTCCCGCTTTTATAGCAGGTTTCTCGTCGAAAACCAAAAAGAAAAATCCCCCCCTCCCCCTGAACACGTGCGTGAAAGAAAATCCCCCCCCCCTGAACACGTGCGTGAAAGCAAAATCCCCCCCCCTGAACACGTGCGTGTACACTAAATTTTCCCACGGTCGTGTTCAGAAGCAAATGTTTGGCCATTGCTTTTCTCCCTTTTCCTTTGAAAAGCAATGCTGAATAATCTCTCCGTTGCTTGATTGATTGATTTGATTGATTGATTGATTGATTGATTGATTGATTGATTGATTGATTTGATTTGATTTGATTTGTTCAGGCTCTTCAGAGATGACCCCCCCCTCTCTCCCTTCCTCCCCCCCTTGAAGAGAAGAGAGGGGGTCATCGCTGAACAGCCTGAACAATCAATCAATCAATCAATCTAGGTGGGAAACTGTAGAAATAGCCGTTCTTCAATATATCCCGGCTAATATCCCTTCAGAACCAACTCTCAGAAGGTATTCCTTCTGAAGCGAGTATTTCTGCAATTACCCCTGATGGTAGCGCGAAATATTCAATATTTCGAGAAGAAATACCTTTTTCATCTTCATTGTAACCATACCCTACCCACTTTCAGAAGGAAACTGCAGAAATACCCTCCCTCTTTAACACAAGAATACCCCTTTCCTATACAAAAACTAGTTGAGTCAAAAAAAAAAAGAAGAAAGGAAAAGAAAAAAGAAAAAAGGATACCCCTTTCCCCCACTGTCTTTGTTGTGAAGGTACATTTCACCGGGAAACACTTACAAGACGGGTATTTTGAGACTATTTTTGCAATTTCCCCATCAATAAATCACATTCACTTTTAAACATTACAGTCTTCACCCGAATACAACGCCTGGTCATTATCCCTGTACCTCGTCAGAAAGTTGCCCCAAATCCAGTCACAAGGACCAAATGTTCTATTCGGGTGAAGAGGGTAGGCCGTTCTTCAGGATTGATCGTTCAGCCTCCCGATGACCACCCACCACTCCTAACGACCCCAATAACAATCCCAATAATTTTATTTTTTTAAGCGAATAAGAGCCAATTCATGGAGGGAAAAAAAAAAAAAAAAAAACTCCGTACGTGGTGTAAGAGGGAGATATCCTTACACGGTGTTAGGGGAGGAAAGGGGAAAATAAGAGGGAGATATCCTTACATGGTGTAAGAGGGAAGAAGACAAAAAAAAATAAAAATCCAGAGGCTCCTCCTTCACACCAACATGTATATGCACACGCGCTTGTTCCCCTCTGTTCCCGTCAATTCCCGTATGTTTCCCGTTTGGTCCCGTCTATTCCCCGGTGTTTCTTTGTTTGCTTCCGATTCGGTCCCGTCTATTCCCGTTTGTTTCCCGCTTGCTTCCCGTTTGTTCCCGTTTGTTACCACTCGCTTGGTGGAGGACAAGCTGAAGGAAGCTAAGGGAACAGAAGGGGACAGAGGGCCTCGCCACACCACTCTGGAGACGAAAAAAGAATAAATGCATCCTCCGCAGAGAATGGTAAGATGCATCCGTTGCCATTCATAATAACGGATGCATCTTGCCATTCTCTGCCGGAAGATGCATTCATTCTTTTTTCGTTCTACATAGTCACGGACTGCATC